CCGAGCGTGGCTCGCGGGCTGATCGTGGAGTGGCACGTAAACCACTGAGCGCTGCTCGTGTATCAAAGCAGTTGCTGCATGTCATGCGTGACATGGTCGGCCGAGGCATCGAGGGCGAGGCCTTCGTGATGCGCGTGGAGTGGCACGAAAATCACTGAGCACTGCTCTCGTTGCGAAGCAGTCGCTGCAAGCCAATGATGGCGTGGTCGCACAGAGTCCGAGGCATCTTGGACCCAGCCCTTCAGATGCGCGTGGAGTGGCACGGTATCCACTTGACGAAGACTGCGGAGTTAGCAATTCTTCGTCGGATGTTGTAGATAACATCGGAGCTCTAAAGGAGCGGATAGTGAGGGTGACACCGGACGACGCGGAGTGCGTGCTCACCCTGGTCTCACCGAGACATAGCAGAGGCGACGGCGACGCCGTATGCTGGCTGCAAGACGCCGGGCGACGACGCTGATCCAGGGTGTGTCTACCGTAGACGACGGTACACAGTTATACACCCTCATAAGTAGAACAACTTCCTAGCAGATGTGTTATCATGACTCAACGAACCGCTATTCAAAGAGCAATGTATGACACAAAACAAACTGTCACCTTACAATTACTCCATGCATAATGGTGGATTAGTCGTGCCATATCGAGGATGAGATCTTTTCAAAGACAGATCCAGATCTAAGCAGCGTTTCTCGTTGTCAAGGTTAGGAAGCGTTGCAGGCAGGTTCAATAGAATTCTCAACAGTTATCGGTATTTATCATCAACAAAGCCTCCACATATTTGCCGATAATCGCGCGGTCTATTTATCATCAGCAAAGACTCCGCATATTTGCCGACAATCGCGCGGTCGAAACTGAACAACGTTTCCAAACTTATCCGACTTCAAACAGCTTCACGGATCCCAGGAATTTGATGTAGACAGACAACAACACTGAACTGTGAGCCCCACCTCGTTAAATGATTTGCTTTATTAAGGGCTGGTATCAACTGGCCTTGATCCCCACGAAGTACAACAAATTACGGTTTGATCAAGTAGGCCGAACTGGAACTTGTTTTGCATTGGTCATTCCTGCTTGGTAGCTTGAATCTACGCGCCTCATAACCCGTGACCTGAAGGGTCATACCGAGCTAAATTGTTTGGTACTGCCATATGTGTAGCATCTGTAAGTACGATGGTACTGCTCCGTATTTAAGACATCACTTGACTACTTCTCAGCCCAGCTAATGTACATTTTCGCTGGGAGAGCTCAAAGATCCTCATCCCCCCGCATCCCATCGGTTGTGAAATGCAAAACGTAACGCTTTCTTGGAAAAGGAGATTAAAAGTCACATGAAAGAATTCTTTCTGAGGAGACGACCCGAAATTATATCTTGAAGTGGGTCTACACCTTTGTTGGAATTACTATTTTTTTCCGTGGAGATGTTTTTCTATTTTTTCATCCCTTGTGGACAAGGATTATTGATGTAGACGATAGGCTTGATTCGGCATTGTGAAACCGTCAACATCTGTCATTTTGGCACATCCCGCGTTGGAAACCATCCATTTCTGAGATTTAGCACGTACGTGCCCGCTTCTGAGCGTAGCAAACTGGTGCTTTGGATTGAACTTCGTCGACAATCTAGCCGCTGTTGTCCAGCGATATTTTTTGTTTGTTTGTGCTCTTGAAAAGCTAAGGCCTCAACACAAGCGGCTTCATGGCGGCAGCTGATTCTGCTTTTATCGAGACCTGGCTGTGGAATGCTACAATGTGAATTTTGTCCACATACGGTATCATGCCTAAATAAAAGTTTGTGTGTCGTTAATCCAAATGCGTATCTCTCGAACTCAGAACAGAGAGTCTGCATATATCCATATAACGTCGGTGTCGCCTCCCAGCTAGACCTCTCATCTTTTCCGTACCAGTACTAACCATGATATTTCTTTATAGTACTATATTTTGGTACTTCTGAGCTAACAGTTAAAAGGTGTCTGTCTGCCCACAAAATGCGGTGCGTAGCCCGTTACACATGCGATGTATTGAAATAATTATACTGATAGATACCGATTGCTTAACTAAAAAATCAAGTAATTTGCTGACTCGAAATCGCATTTCTAATTCTTAGAGTGCTCCACCTTCTTTCTCGATTTGCATCTATTAGGAAGAAGCTTCACCATGCCGCTTAACATGCCGTATCACTCCACAATGGAAAAGGAGATTGTCAAGGCCGCTGCTATTTTAGATTCATGCTTTAGTTCCACTGTATCCGCCGATGCATCAATACCTGCCGAATTGATTCAGAACGCAGCAGGTCTCGCCTTCCTCACAGTCATTAAGGCAGGATTAATCTGGACAGGCAAGATGGGAACTGGTCTAGTCGTCGCTCGTCTTCACGACGGATCATGGTCAGCCCCGTCGGGCATCGGTACAGCTGGAATGGGCTTTGGCGCAGAGATTGGTGGTGAAATTGTCGATTTTCTAATTATTCTTGGCTCTCCTAGCGCTGTCAAGACGTTTAGGAAAGGAACACAGATCTCTGTGGGTGCAGGTTTGGACCTAGCAGTGGGTCCTGTGGGTCGTGCGGCAGGCGCCAGTGTTAATGCTGGAGGTGGCGGTGTCAGTGGCAATTATACTTATAGTCATGCCAAGGGCGTGTTTGCGGGTGTTGGTCTGCATGGATCTACAATTATGGTGCGTGGCGAAATGAATTGTCAATTTTACGGTCGCAAGGTCACTCCTGATGAGATTTTGAGTGGGCAAATTGCTCCACCGCCTGGAGTATGCGACGTGTTGTTCGATGCCATCCATCGCGCGTGTAGGCAGCAGGGACTCAACATGGAGTCCAATCCAAATTCAACTTGGTCAAATCGTAGCAGCGCTAGCAATAGCTATGGACATAGCAATGGAACTCCTGATGCGGCAGATCATGCCGCTGCTGCTCATGCATCGTATTCTACACCTCCCTCTTTTTCATTTTCAAACTTGAACATGGACCAACAGCAGCAATTGCCAGCGGCAGGATCATCTAGATCCTTACCTATGGCAACTGCAACACAACCGGATCCAAGAGACCCGCGGCTTCAACGATATAGCACTTATAAGTCTGAACGTGAACTGTACGAGCAATTTGAGCGAAAGAAAAATGGTGTAGTTCATATCGAGTCCACACACACTCACCCAACAAATCCATCACTGCAATACAAGTCGTACCCTGCTCCAGCGCCTAATATGTCCTACACAGCACCCCCAGAGGCTCAAGCGATGTATAACTCGTATGTCAAACCACCTGTCACCAAGGCCCCACAGCAACCTGTGCCACCTCTTCCGCCATCCGCGAAAGGCGCTGAGATGAAGCAGATCTATTCGGAAGTGATCAATTTCGTGCAAACTAAGTGTCCGCATGCAAACTTGCAAGTATTTAAGGACAACTGTCGGCTGTTCGGCCAAGATGCCATGTCGTTAGACGCGTTCTTCGGCTATTTGCTTTCGATCTGCTCTCAACCTAATATGAAAGAGCTAGTACCTCAATTGACGCGTCTACTACCTACACAAGAGAAACGTGAACGCCTTTGGGTACGTTTACAAATGCAGACTATATGGTGGTTTTTGTTGACACTGGTGACGTGATCTTGCGTGTTTAACAGACAGTATACGTGCGTGAAATCCTACTGATCAAAATTTGATTTGTAAAGCTGTCTGAAGCATTATCAACTATGACATGACGGATTGTGCATAGAATCGCAACGTGATGGCTGCTTTTAATATGTTTAGAGTTTCTGATTCGCGGTTTTAATTTGCCGACATCTTTGAAATGAAACGTCGCATTAGGTGTATCATGTCATTTAAAGCTGCATACGTTAGTTGATATGATTTTGACACAGGAGGAGATCGATGCATGCCGCGAATCGTTTGTGCATTTTGACAAGGATGGCAGTGGCACAATCGACAAGTACGAGCTGTCGAAGGTATTGGAAGCCATGGGTCAAAAACCTACTGACGAGGAGCTGTTCCAGATGATTGCTGAGGTGGACAACGACAACAGTGGAGAGATTGAATTTGCCGAGTTTTTGCAGGTTATTGAGGCACAGAAGCTTCGTGCGGCGCAGTACGACGAT